AATCACTGTCACCTTGTTTGTATGTCATTGGACGTGAACAAAGGTTACCATCGTCGTCTGCTGTTGTCAACATAGCATATTGAATGTGTTTTATTAATTTGAAGACATATTCCTAATTCGATAAAGATCATATATAATATACAAATGAAATGCACCCAACAGACTTGATCTTTACTGTGATCGGAACGCGATGATGACATGTTGAAGATATTTGTTAATAAGAAAAATGTTTGCGACAGATGTAAAATGTAACGATATATATGTGGAAATGAAGAGAAAAAAGTAACCTATTTATATTATATATCGTGTCTAGTAGAAAATATAGAGTGTAGCTGCCTCTTTACTGATTATGTCATGCGTTATAGCTATATATTGCCAACAAATGAACCAAGAGCGAAAGAAAAAAGACGAAAAACAAGAAGGAATATGGATGGACGGCAATAATGGAGAAAGGAGAATAGACAACTGCATATCAAGGTCTTTCAATGTAGTTATTTTTTCTTTTTCGTAGTGCTAAAAACCTTTGTATAATAGTTGATAAAAATATTCTGTCAATGTAATGTCCATTTCAAAATAAAAGAAGGATGGTTGTTTTTCGGATAAATCTTCAATGGAAAGAGCTATCGATTTGTGGTTTTCACCAGACCTGGGCATCTCCATGGCAATGAGTACCAGGTTCGCTACTGTCAATTCTTTTTCCTATTGATAGTAGCGACATCTGGTACTCGTTGCCATGGAGATGGCCAGCTCTGGTTTTCACCGTTGGAAAGAGAATGACATTCTGCATCTTTCTATACACTAATTAACAGAACTAGCTCGTAAATTTGATGAGCAGACAATGAAATTCAAAGAAGGAATTAAAATGCTTTGAAAAATGTATAGAATTTCAATAATAAGTACATTAGATTCGCCTACTCAAGATCTATAACTCTCCATAAACCGAAAATTTTTATTTTGTACCACTGAAATGAATATACATCCAACAATGTTGGTGAAAAATGCTGGAAACAACCTTTTGTGACTATTTTTTTGGAATTTTTTAAAACTCTATGCTCACCAATTAACAGTTAGGTTTTTGATCATTCTGAAGAGACATTCAACATATAGAAAGATGTCGTATCGGTATAGTTTGTGACGAGAATACTCGATATGTGTTGTAAACTTTATGAGCTAGTTTTGTTAATTAGCATATAGAAAGATGCAAAATATCAGCCTTTTTCTAATGGTGAAAATCGCAAATCGATAACTCTTTACGTTGAAGAGTTATTCGAAAAACCAAAAAATCCAGCTGCTGATATATAAGAATCTTGAAAGGAAACATATTGTTGTATACTGATATCAATAAAGACATGTATGTCTTAAAGTGAAACATGTGCTTTACATATGATGTCTTCGGAGAATATCTCCGGAAACTCAATTATGTCCTAGGGTAAGAGGTATAGCAGAGGTGCAGAATCTTCCAAAAATCCAAAAATTTCCCCCCACGCAAAAAATTTTTTTGAAAAATTTCCCCACTGTATTTTTCTTTGGTCAGCGGGTTTTTCCAAAATTTCCCTATTATTTGAGTTTTTTAAAAAATTTCCCTCCCTGCGCGGGGGCGCATGAGGAAGATTCTGCACCTCTGAGGTATAGAGATAGATAGGTATAGAAGATATAGAAGATATAGGAGATATAGGAGGTATAGAAGATATAGGAGATATAGGAGGTATAGGAGATATAGGAGGTATAGGAGATATAGGAGATATAGGAGGTATAGGAGGTATAGGAGATATAGGGTGTTCCATAAGTCGCCCGACACTCTTGTATTGCGAATAACTTTTGATAGGAACAAGATATAAACCTGCGGTTTTCACCATTCGAAACAGCGGTGTTTGGGCCATCGATCTATATAATATTTACAACGACGAGAGATACTTTTTCATAGGAGCTTTTCAATTGACTATCTTTTTTTTGTGCAGTTTCATAAATTTTCACATTACTAACAATTTTACCTAGTACAAACTTCTTTAATTCCACACTACCGGCAACTAATATAGCTTGCAATAACTTTCAAAAGCATCCATTCAAAAGTATCCTTATTTTCCCGTCATTCACCTAATTCCTCAGAATTTATTTTCAATAGATTCGAATGACTTTTGCCAATCGATACTGGATCTTCACCCAGGTCCATCGTTCCGGCCACCAGATACTGCAGGAACCGGCAGGAAAATGCGGGAAAAATCACCGTATCCTACAGGAAAACACCGGAAATAGCCGGAACATGGAAGCAGTATTCCGGCCGGAAATTCTCCGGATTTTTTCCGGTGAATTCCGACCAATTTTCTGTGTTTTCCGGCAGGAACCGAACGGAAAATCAGCTGAAAAAATTCCGAAAATTTCCGGCCGGAATACTGCTTCCATGTTCCGGCTATTTCCGGTGTTTTCCTGCCGGAACCGTCCGGTACTTTTCGACCTGGGCATGTTTATTATAATAATGAATAATTCACATTATACAGAGCAACGAAATTTGGAAAAGATAATCCTTTACTAAGAACATTCGATTTTCCTTTCAATAGACAAAATGAACAACATGATGATATGCTAATAAATAATAATATCAATTACGATTCTATTCTTAATCATGCATTAATATCTTACACATTAAATAATATAAATCTCTCAATCTTTTCACATAATGCGAATAAATGGTCATTGAGTGAACAATATAAAAATGATACCATTGACTTAACTACCAGAAATTATTTTACACGTTCAACTATTTCAACAACATCCACAACCGAGACTAATGGCGTACAAGGAACATACATGTCACACTTGAAACTTCAATTCACTTATTGAAAATTTGCTTTAACTATTCAACTACTTGCGCAGAAAGGAGTTGGGGCGGGAGATGGCATACATATCTTTAGACACACACATCACACTAGCAGGTGTGCGTGCGGCGAAAGGAGTAAGGAGG